TATTCAACGATAAACGCATTTATTGTCACAAATCTGTGATTAAAATACGAAACAAACAGTTTTGGCAAAAATGTCAGCAAATGTTGAATAAAATTAATAACAATTCAATCGATAATGAGATTCACGTTAAGAGCTATTCTTACGACTCTTTCTATCCATTCCTTCAGTTCTTGTATGCAATCAAACCGAAGATCACTCCCAGAATCGCTCGCGAAGTCTCAAAGTTGGCCACACTTTATGGGGAATCAGTTCTTCAGGAGTTGTGCGCACAGGCATTGGGATCAAGTGATGAGACAATTGATTTGTCAAACGTTTGCAGTCTGTATGAGATGTCTATCACCGATGGATCCGTTGAGTTGAAGAAGAGATGCGTTGAATTCGCGAGAAATAACTTTAAATCTATTTTTAAATTGGATTCATTTGAGACAATGCCTGAAGACTTGTCCAAACGATTCATGCAATCGATGTTTAATTAAACTAAATTGCATTTATTTTAATGATTACTAATTATTCATTATCATTAATAATGTTTTACCATTATATATTAACATCTAAACAATAATTAATTTATTAATTTAACGTACAATTGATTTAATTATATAAACAAATTGTTAAAATTAATAAACGATATTTAATAAACATGTAGTTAATGTAATTATGATTAAATTAATGTCAATTTAATGATTTATAAGTAATTTTCCAAATAGTATGTTAAGCAGTGAAGCGAGTGTTGTATTCAAAGGGGTTTTAAGTGATGAGCGAAACGCTTATGAAATAACATAAGAGAAAGAAAGCATTGAATTGTGTTTTGAAAATAAAAACAATTATTTAATTATTAATTAAATCATTGAATGAATGGATAGTTTCAATATATACCGAAAGTTTTCCAATTTGTGTCCACAACTGGTGGACAACAAACGCGGCAACAAATTGCCGATCAAATTGTTGGCCGTCTTTGGAAATGAAGGCGAAGAAGTGATTGTTGTGACCGCCGATGACCGGGTCTTCGGTTTCGGTGCCAACCGTTTCGGACGACTCGGTCTCGGAGTGAAGGGTTTGATCGCAAGACCGCAACTGAACGCCACTCTCACCGGAAAGAAGATAATGAAGATATGCTATGGTTTGGGACATTGTATTGGACTGACCCGTAGTGGACAGTGCTATGGATGGGGACATAACTCGTGCGGTCAGCTCGGCATTGGGTCTGTGTCCGACACACCGACCCCTCAACCAATCGATATACACAGCAATAGATCACATCCCAAACAAGTGAAGGCCATCTCATGCGGTGATAATCACACGCTAGCGCTGACCAACGATGGCGTGATTTACGGCTTTGGGGCCAACGATCGGCGCCAATGCGGCCAAACAGAGGGCGAAATGGTGTGGACGGCGAGTATTGTTAAAATCAAAGCCAAATTTGTGTCCATTAGTTGCGGTCGCAATCATTCTGCGGGTCTGACCGATACGAAAACGGTTTACGTTTGGGGCAGTAATGACTGCCAACAGTTGGGCCCCAAAGCCCTCGTAGTCGCCGGTCAGACATACTGTTGTCCGCACATACTGTTCAATGGCCACAATCGGCTCGTTTGCCATAGTGTGATGTGCGGACCCAATCACACAGTACTGCTAGCACTGCCCGGTGTTGTCCACCTGTACGGCAGTTACGACTGGAAACCCGATCCCAAAAGTAGCAAATTATTCGCCGCAAATAATGTCGATCCGAAACAGCGCTTCAAATGGATTGACACCACTTATGACAATCAGGTAGTGATTGTGACCGCGATGTACGGCCAGCGATACTTTTTGGGCAAAGCTAACGGTTCCGCCACTTTTATGCCCATTGATATACCGCTGAAATCTTCACTGTTTGATGTTTTCGCTAAATATTGTGGTTTTGATCGCACCTTTGCATCGATTTTACAATTATTTGAAACATCGATGTCATCGCCGAAGAGCTGTTCCCAAAACGATGAAGAGATCTATTGGTCTGAAGGAGAAGACGCTGACGAAGCCATTGGATTACAAACTACTAGTTCGAGAACTTGTGACCCGAAGAATACGGCTAAAAGTGATTCAACTGTACCGTAAGTATTGACATTTAATTGACAATTAATTGTTAATTAGATTTATTTATCTATTGTTTAAGCGTTGAAGCGGTGAAAAATCATTTGTCGCCACAGAGCGGTTCCAATAGTGATACTGAGATCTATTTGTCTGAAGGAGAAGAGCCAGAAGATGCCAATGATTTAATCATTGAAGACATCCGTTTAGACGCTGATGATAAGTGCCACAAATCTAGGTCTGTATTACCCCTGAAATTATGATGTTTTAATTCTATTTGTCTGAAGGAGAAGAGCCAGAAGATGCCAATGATTTAATCATTGAAGACATCCGTTTAGACGCTGATGATAAGTGCCACAAATCTAGGTCTGTATTACCCCTGAAATTATGATGTTTTAAGTGTTTTGTTTAATTAATAGTAAATTCAGTGATAATGTGATGAAATCCAGTTTATGTCTCACTGAATGTGGAGATAATGCGGGAACTATTGAGATGAAGAACACCGATAGTATTGATCCGATTATACCGTAAATATTGACAATTAATAAACTGATAATTACTGTAATTTTTGTTTATTTTTTTCAGTTGTTCTGCAAATAATTTGTTTGCGAACGAAGAGTCGATTCATTCGATGAACAACTGTTCCGAAAGCGATGAAGATATCTATTTGTCTGATCCCGAAGACAACGAATCGCATACTACGGGAACCACTGATTGTTTCTTGTGGCTAACAACACTAGGCTAGCATCCCATACATAACTATTAATGTTTAATCAATTGTTTAATTTAGTTACAAAAATTAAAAAATCTACAAAAGTTTTTGTAAACAAATTTCACAAATTGAATCGATTGGATTCTGATTTGATATTTATTGTCGAAAATCAATACATTTATTGTCACAAAACTGTTCTCAAGATTAGAAACAAAGAGTTTTGGGAAATATGTGAACAAAATATGTTTACCGAACGGGAGATCGAAATCAATGCCTATTCTTATGACACAATTAAAGCGTTTNTATGTGAACAAAATATGTTTACCGAACGGGAGATCGAAATCAATGCCTATTCTTATGACACAATTAAAGCGTTTCTCATGTTTTTGTATGGATTGCGACCCGAAGTGAATGACCAGAACTGTCGACAACTGTTAGGTTTAGCTGAAGAGTACGGCGAACGCGGACTCAAAGAAATTTGTCAAATCTGGAAAAGTTTATGAAATTTTAATGATTTTTTATTTTATATTTAGTAAATTATATTTACTTTTAATTTAATTATTAAATTATATAATTATTAATTATATAAAACCTTAAGACATTTATGATTTTTGAAAAAGTTAATTTTGCAATAAATATGCGCACTATTAAGAATTGAATTAAATTGTTAAAATTACTTATAAATTATAAGTTAACTTTATATGTAATGATTTAAATTAGATTTACAAGTTTTAATAATATTTTGTATAAATTATTTAAAATAATTGATTAATAAATAAAATAACATAACAATTATATATATTTATGTTGTAATTTAACCACTCGTTGAGATCTCAGTATAGGATCCGAGTTTGAAACCGGAGGCGCCCTTAACGTCGAGCCAACCCTCACGGGTGGCGATCACAGCCTCCCCAGCGTTCAGTCCTTCGGCCAAAACCAATAGACCATTAGAAGATTCCTTCGTTGACAACGATTTCATATCTGATTGGATATAAAATTGTTAATTAAAAAGTTTTTAAACTTAATTGAGTTTTGCATACATTTCTTATATAAAGGTTCGGTAATTGTCTTCACTTCTTGTTTTTCGTCCACATTTTTGCGGCCATTTTTACCGCCATTAATGTCTTGCACAGCGCCCGCACCCAAGCCGTAGACATTGCTAATCGTCAAAGACTTTTTGCCAGAACTGACGGTCACTTTGAGGGCACCGATGGCTCCGATTCCCTCCACTATAAGGAATCCGTCGTTTGCTTTGAGTTGAGTTTCGGGTCTTTTATTGATTGAAGTTTTGGACAGAAATTCATTCAAAGTTTGGTTTGAATCCAAATTAACAGAAATGCTATAAATATATAAAATAATTAATAAATTATATTAAATATAATTATAGATTAAATTCAGTTTTCCTACTCTTTCAACACATTTCTTGCGATTGACTCCAAATCATGGGCTGAGACGAGGGCTACGACTGACACAAACGCTAACAATATTTTCATCATTTTATTGCAGTTTATATTTAATTATAATTATTATTATAATTGAATTATAAGACAATTTGTTATACTTTTCTCAAACAAAAGTCATGTCTTTATATACTATTGAATGATGTCTTCAATGAGTGATAATTACCTAACAATTGATAAACACTTGGATTTAAGATTGAAAATATATTTTAAGTTTTAATTGCAATCTTTTTATTAGTCATCAATTATTTCAGTTAACTATTGATTAGTTATAACACAAATATTTATCAATTGTTTGATAAAAACTAAAGAGAATTACCGATAAATTGTTGATATCTTAAACTAAATGAACGAAAGATAACATATGTTTAAAAATACATACAATTATTACACAATTGTTAAGAAATTGTTGTTTTTATGACAAAACATATCATTAAAGTTGTGATACTTTAAGTTAAATGATTTGTTAATCAAATCTATGGTTAAGTGAGAGATAAACCAAAAGCACTGAAGTTTTGACACTAAATGTGACGACAAATAGTCTAATATTCAAAGTATTGTTTCGAAGAATGTATGAAATATTAATCCAACGATTGATTGCTTTTATCGCTATTAAAATATAATATAAATTCATAGAAAAATTCACAACTTTATAAAATTGAATTGTAATCAAAATGCCTATCATTTTAGACATTTGGGTTCTAACCGTCGCTTTTGTGGCCAAAGTGTACCAAAAATAACAATTAAAACTTCTAAATAATTGTAAGTTTTGTAGTAACAGAAGTATAAAAATTTATTGCAAACTAATTAAAACTATTTTACATTTACAATCACAAATCAATTTTAATTTCATAAACTTTTCCAGATTTGACAAATGTCTTCGAGTCCGCGTTCGCCGTACTCTTCAGCCAAACCTAACAGTTGTCGACAGTTCTGGTCATTCACTTCGGGTCGCAATCCATACAAAAACTTGAGGAACGCTTTAATTGTGTCATAAGAATAGGCATTGATTTCGATCTCACTTTCATTAATCATATTTTGTTCACATATTCTCCAAAACTCTTTGTTTCTAATCTTGAGAACAGTTTTGTGACAATAAATGTATTGATTTTCGACAATAAATCTTAAATCAGAATCCAATCGATTGTCAAAAGGTTTCAATAAATAGTTTTGAAAACCACTAAAAAATCAAATAAAATCAATACTTAATTTATAATCTAATCGACAAAACTTACTTTACATTCCGTTCACAACAACCCGTACTCTTGCACTCAACGTGTGAACCGATTGCTTCAGTGACTAAATCGTTGTCTTCTTCTCCTTCAGACCAATAGATCTCTTCATCGCTTTGGGAACAGCTTTCCATCAATGATATTGACGTTTCAATTGAATCCACAATCGATTCAAAAGTTCGGTTATAACCACAATATTTGGCGCAAACGTCAAACAGTGAACAACCGATCGGTATATCAATGGGAATACAAATCTCCGAACCGTTATGTTTGCCGAGAATGAATTGATTCAATCGTTTTAGCTGTCGATCCCATTTGGTCGCAATCACTACCCGATTGTCATAAGTGGTGTCAATCTTGTTGTAGTTTTGTTTCGCTAAACAGGTGTCAAACTCGTGGGCATTATTGCGGTCGGGTTTCCAGTCGTAATTGCCGTACACGTGGACAACACTTGCACTACCCTTCGCGACCTCCACTACCGTCTTCACTATCGTATGGTTGGGGCCGCAGATCACTGTTCGACAGGCGAGCCGTTTCTTGCCGTTAATGGGGTGCGGATAACAGTACGTCTGACCGGCGACTACCACCGCTTCGGGACCCAACTGTTGCGAATCATTGCTGCCCCACACGTAAGCGGTTCCCGTATC